GGTAGAACACATTATTCTGTCTTTCTGATATCTACAGCTGTGATAAGTGGAAGAGACGAGTTGAGTAAGGTCAGCTAAATGTTCCCTTTAGAAAAACACAACAATGGATTCTATTGCCAAGATTTATTTCTTAATCACACTACATTTGCAATGATGAGGTCTTCAATGCCAGTTTATAAAGCATTAGATGCCCTTGTAGCCATGCACCTGTTATAAAGAGATACATGTCAGATTGTGGTCTCTTAGACTTTTCATCTTAATGGGTATTGTCCGAGGCGATGGGCCTGCCATCAGACAAAAAGAAGGAAAAGGCGTTTTCATACCTCCCACTAGTTTACTTGCTTAGTTTTTTTAAATTCATGGATGCATATGGGATCACCCTTTTATTATTTGAAACTAACATTGCTGTTTAATATAACTTTGGATCACACAAAAAGCATAATACAAAGGTATACAAAAGTAATTTATTAGTTTATGCCTGGGAAAGAAGAGCATCTTTTTTTTATAAATCTCTTCATTTCTCTTTAACCAGGCTATAACATGTCATCTAAAACGGTTTGGATCTCGCTTGGGGAGGCACTTTGAAAGCCTCTGTAATCACTACTGAAGATCAACGAAAAGTAGTTCTATGATTCATAGAGTCTGAAAATAATGACCCTGTCCCCTTTGTCCAGAGCCGGTTGTTAAACGACAACAGTTGAATGTGTCCATCTGTGTTTGCATGCCTTTTACTTTGTGTATCACCCTTGCAGAAAAAAAGATTTTTCTTTTGAAATACGTTTCTGTTTACTTACTCCTCCACTTCTCTATTACTCTCGATGAATCAACTGCAGGCCTTCTGTCGTTTGTGTTCCGTGAAAATGGAATTGAAAGAACTGAATGTTCATTCTGAATGTATTTCAGGCCTTGCCAGTTCCTCTGTTTACTCGGTGAAGTAAATAGTCCCATTTCCTCACTTCCCTATTTTATGGAAGTTACCTTGAAATCCTCTCCTTTCTAGTGATTGATTTCATATAATATAGAAGGGTACATGTTAAACACTTGACTGGAACTTGAGCATAACTGTAAAACGTTTGTCTTTATATAGCACCATAAAAAACAAGAGACCAAATAAATTCCTTCTGTTTATCCCTCAGCTGCTGTTTGTTCCAGAGAAAATGTAAATGAAACTTTTCACATGGATCTTCCATATTCACTAGGAACAAAACATTTGAAAATGTGTGTAGAAGCTTTCCAGTGTCATATTCTTCAAATAGGTTAAAATATGAGTTGAAGTCAGCTACATCGGTCATTCGTTGTTGTAACTGAATGTTGGCTTATTAATGTGTTGCAATACATTGCAAACAAGGGCTTTGGCGTCACTGTTACTATGGTTATTTTTGTAGATAAAGGATTATAATATCATTCAACACATTCATTTAAAACGATAACACCTTACAGCCAATCAGAATTGAGTAGCCACTAAGACCTTAGTAAGCTATATTTCTAAATTATATAACTTTTAAATGATTAACACAATTGATTTTATGTTTTGTTCTACAAAAAGAAATAAAAGAAATAAATCAAATGTTTCATCATGTTTATAAAATTAAAATCCCTCTAGAATCTGTAAAGTAAAGCTAAAGGATTTCTTGAGGTGTATCACCTGTATTCTGAATATTTCGTGATGCTTTTTGTATTGAACTTTAAGTCAAATAGGCTATACCCCAACAACATAATTGCTCTGTCATGAGTTCAAAGAAAAAGCTGGGTTTACACCTCATTTAAACGCACATATTAAACTGTGTCTTATAAAATGCAGTGTCCAATTCGATTAGTGGCTTTTTAGAAATGATTAAATATTAGATGTTATTATACAGGTGTACCAGATGACTGGATTGTCTTAGATTCTTGCAGAGTAACTATTTACTAAATAACAAATGAAAATAGCTTGGCTGTTTAATCACAGTATGGCAAAACATAGTAAAACAAAGTTAAGTAGAGGTCTTAAGGATTACGATTATTTGGACTGATACATCTTCAATGTTTGCATTTCTTACCGTGAAAAAGCCTGTCATTCAAATGTTAATTATCTTCTCAAATATAGTTTGCAGTCTTTAGACATGGATCCTCAAATGTACATTCACTCTAAATACCATAATTAATTTGGCAAATTAGCGATGCTGTATATTATTGTCATGATTTGTACTGGTACACTCAAAACCCATCCATCAGCTGAATACACCTGCTTGTCTTGTTAGCCTTTTTCATTTTTACACTTTGTTTTGGGTCTTTGGGAATTTGTGACACCTGAATGAAACACTCAGATGGAGAACATAAGGTCAAGTGACAAAACTACACCAGCACAACATTGATCAATTACTGATAGATAGAAGATAGAATCGGAGGGATAAAACCCTCTTTAATGGTCACACATACAGAGCACACAGCACACACATTGACATTTGTTCTCTGCATTTAACCCAGCTCTAGCACGGAGCTAGAATGGGAACCGCGTTGGTGTGAAAGGGGCAATATAGCTAAAGATTAGCATTAATGACATAGCTAGAAGTTTTATTTTTTCCAAAAAGTGGCTGTGGGGCAAAGTGAGCCACATGCTGTCAGGTAAATTGAGCCAGTTCTATAATTTAACCCCGCATGAGGCACTGAAGTTAAGTTAAGTCTCTGTAGAATAAATGTTTTATGTTTTAAACATTGTAGAAAAGCTATCATGCCAAGAAAGTACAAGCGAGAAGCCACTGATGGCAAGGGTGGAAAATTGGTCAGAGCAGTGGCAAAAGACAGAAATACGGAAAGGTCAACCCTGTGTAGATACATAACAAGGAAGGAGGAAAAGGAAGTGAAAACAGTAGGGTACAGTGGAACAGCCGAGGCAAAGGTATTCACCCAGGAGACAGAAGGAACTTGCAATGATATAAAAAAAACTGGCTGACCAGTTCCATGGCCTTACACCAAAGAAATGCTTTGAACTGGTCTTTGTATTAGCCGACGGAAACAACCAAACAACTCCGGATTCAACTTGAAAAAGTCAATAGGTCAATTTACCCCCAGGTGGCTCAATTTACCCCTTGACTCGGAACAACTTACCCTTTAGATTGGGCAAGTTAAGTCACTAGAAATTACATTTTTGAGAAGTCATATTTTCATTGCCCTTTGTGATAGATGCATTGTTATCAGTTTTATTGACATCTCAACGAAAAGGTTGTTGTTATCATTTGACTTCTAACAGATTTTTCCTTGCCAAGAGAACAACATAAGTACAAACTGGCTCATCTTACCCCACTCCCCCCTATTGCCGCTCCATTGTCAGGCCCTATTAATTACTTTTTTCATATGAATATTTGTATTGTTCTTATTCCAATTAATAATCCTTTATGACCAAACTAGCACACAGCATATCAGAACAACTGATAACTGACGAAAGCACATTTTATTACAACTATTTTTTGCCAAGAAATAATCCATGGCATAACCCCCCCAAAAGACAGCTAGGCTAACTGTCCTCTTTGTGGTATTCACCCTTTTTCATTGTTGTTTTATTTTGTTTATATGAAATATATAGCATGGAGACATATCAATATATTATATACTCATATCGGGGCAGCAGTGGTTCAGTCTGTAGGGGATTGGACTTTGTAAAAAGTGTGTACTGTATGTACCTGTATAAAAAATGCATGTGTGTGTACGACAGAGTGGAAACTGAATTTCCCCCTCGGGGGATTAATAAAGGTCCATCTTCTTCCCCTTCTTCTTCTTGTGCGTGAAAACACCTTCCAGAAGAGCTGCAGTTTCCATAGTAACACTTTGGTCAAAGCAGTGCTATCCATTCATTTATTAGCAACAATATAACAAACTTTCAGAAGTACCACTAGAGTTTCACACTTTTTGGATAACACGAAGAGGAATTTCTTTCCATCATGGTTATTTAACATTACATATATGGCAATGCAATTGAAAGCTGTTTATACAAAGATAGAGGGGTTGTGTACAAAAGGACAGTTAAAATAAAACCCAGTCCAAATGTACAATATGGATCTTGAGCAGTGTAGTGTAGGTAGAGAAGAGGTAGTAAAAATAAAATTGAAAGAAATAAAGTGAAATTAACTAGAGGGAGTGTTTTAACCAGTGACCCAGTGAACAACAGAAGTGACACACACACACACACACACACACACACACACACACACACACCCCCACACACACACACACACACACATGCAGTAATGAGTCCTAAAAACCAAGACATTAGTTAGTATTTTACCACTTCTGGTTCCTTTAAAAAGTTTGATTACCGCAGCTCTTATACTTTCTGCAATCTGTTGCTTTTTTAGAAAATGAGAAAATGCCTCTCACCCTCGTAAGTTTTGACTGCAATTATGCCGGGAGAAGAAAAGGAGAAACTTTCTGTTGCCGGGTTATACAGGTTGGACCCAGTGTTTCCCTCGCCAGCTGTGACTCCCGATGCTTGGATTTTCACCAGCTGAATCCAAGCTGCCAAAGCCATTAACCATTGCTCCAACATGTCTTCAACCCCACTAGTAAGCCCAGTTTTTGGACTTCTATATTTATAAACCTCTGCTTATGGCCCCTCCTTAAGGGGATTCAATATTCAAATTGAAACACATTTCAGCTTGTGGTCATAAAGCAGAAAATGTGAGCTCTTTTAACAGATGTATCCAAATGGTTTAAATAACTACTAAATATTCTTTCATTGTGTTTTAGCCAGTATGGAACATTCTGTACATTAAATATTCTCTTCAGTGTGTCTATCCCTGTCCACAATGGAAGTAGGTGAATTTTTGACAGGAACAGTGTAAGAAGGGGATCCATTCACTCATGCTCAGCAGACCTCATGTCTGGGGTTAAAGAGGCTTCCCCCACCAAGACTAGAAAACCAAACAGAACACAGTTTAGTGTGCAAAATGTGTGAAAGCTGTCATTGTTGAACAGCAACACTACAGCGCATCTCGCTCTGATGCTGGAAGGGAGGCAGATTGACTCTATGAAGTCTTCTCAGGCTTTAGGTTTCTTTTTGGTTTAATGTTAATTGAGTCAGTCTCTGAGCCTGTTGAGAACCTTGCAAAGCCTCCAGCTGTCATGCAGTCAGGTGGGTGCAGCACATCCAGGACAATGGGGATATTAAACATCCTGCGCACGGACAGAAGTTCTGCCGCCCTTTGGCAAGAACTCTGACAGACACAGGAGCACTTAGAAGACAAATTAAGAAAGACAAATATAGCTGCATTATGGCTTTGAGACAGCTGGATCCTTTTTCAGACAACTGTATTTTGAGACAAATGTTGATGCCCAAAATGATAAAAGTTTGACATTTCAGCTGTATGAGTTACAGAAAACGTACCTACAGTATGTCTCACTTTGACACTTAACTGAATGTCACAACAGATGCACATCAGTGGTACAGCTATTTCAGTCTAGACCAAGTAATGTACTAGTGTTGAAAATGACGTCAATGCTTCATTATACTTTAAACAGATATATCGTGTGGAAAAAAATTCCCTTTTCAATTAAATTGGAACATGTTCCACTAGCTTGTTCATCAACGTATGCAGAATATAGGAGAATCTTACATATGTAAAACATGAAGTTAGCAGAGCGTGCATATATGGATGTACTGTAACATGCATCAACATGCAATTTAGTAATTTCCATGTACTAAAACCTTTTTTGTGTGTCATTTTCTCTAGCAGACGTTTTTATCCCCGAGAGGGGGGGATTAGAGTTTAAGGGGACTAAGCTCTTCAAATATTATCCACCCATGATCCAGTGCTGTGTTCCTGAGGTGTCACTTCTGGTTTAACATTTCAATATATGTAATCACCTCTTTACAAAGTATAAGCTTTGATATCCAACCATGTTGCTTTTCCTTCATGAAGGCTGCAACATAAATGTGTATTAATACAAACTGGCTCACAGTTACTGAAGCAAAGGTTGCTGTCCATTTCAATTCCCTGCATACCGACCATCTGATATATCAACTTAATCAGAGTCCACAGTACAAATTAAAAGTAGTCCTTTTTCTTAAACTTTTTAGACTTTAGCAGTCACCAGTCATTATTCAAAATGTCGGCAAAACAATCTTATATATTTATATTAGGGATTATTGTAGTGCCAGGTTGAAAAGCCCAGCTCACTTTCTCAGTGTGCTCAATTTACCCTTTTTTAAGCCCCGCCCACCACTGTTACATGTTGCTATCAGCGTTCTTCTCATTTACCTTTATTCAATTTAATTGGTGCACTAACAATTTTTTAATATTATTTTAAGGAACATCTAGTTTATGTTTCAGATTTTTGTCCAGGGAACGAGACCCAAAAACCCCTCTACTCCATTTGATGTACTTTAGCTCCCTCTTACCCCACATATTTAGCATTGCAAGTGTATAGCCTTGTTGACTAATGATTGACAGTTAGTAAGGCTAAAATCGATTAAGTAGAGCCAGAAGTATTGTCGTTCTTATTTCCACATTCTTTTTCCTTGTCAAAAATCCAAATGCAATCAAAGATAAACTGTTGGAAGGGGGAAACTGATGTCTTTTGAACTTAGTAGCTATTTAGCTTCTTGGCAAGGCTCACTTCTTTCCTACTTCACCTTTTTTACATTGTTCTTAGTTTAAATTCTATGGCCTTTATTTAACACTAAAACCGCCAACGGGTCAAATTTACCCGCTATTGATTTTCAAGGTACAATGTTCTTTTATTTATCATACAGAGCAGTGAGTTTTGATCGCACAGGGATGAAACGTATACCAATAGAATCTGTGGACTCTCAGCTTGTCATATGATATAGTTTGTGCAGATAGCATGAAGTATAAAATATCGCTGCCAGTGCTGATTTAAACTCTTGTAGTTAGACTTGGGTTTTGTTTAGGTACAAATCTCTCTATCTCTTTCTATAACTATATCTATCCGTAATGTTCTGTTCTATGGACATATAATTGTCTACATAAACAGACGACGCGGACTAGTTCTCTCATTCCGAGTGTCCATCTTTATTAAACTGGCACGTAACCTGCACACATGCATCATGTCCTCAACTGAGCTCAGTCATCCAAGATGTTGTATTCTCCAAGATGTTACACTATCTATAACTATCTATCTGTCTATCTCTCTCTCTCTCTCTCTCTCTCTCTCTCTCTCTCTCTCTCTCTCTCTCTCTCTCTCTCTCTCTCTCTCTCTCTCTCTATCTATCTATCAATCAATATATCTGTCTATCTCTCTCTATCTATTTATCTATCAAGATATCTATCTATCTATCTATCTATCTATCTATCTCTCTCTCAATCTATCTCTCTATCTATAAAGAACCGCAGTAGACAAAAGGTGTTGCTATAGCAACACGTCATGTTTACGCTGCATTTTCTATGAGGTAAATGTTACCCGCTGACAGATATAGGTATAAATGGCAATTTTCTTGGCGATTTTTTCAATCTGACTTCATATTGACAATGTTTAACAACAGAGGGTGCTACATAACACACTTTAAGGAAAAGTCACGGACTGGGAGACTTTAATATTTTATTGAAAAAAAGTTACATAGGCTACAATCAAGAAACAGCTGCGGGTAAAATTGACCCGTTCGCGGTTCTAGTGTTAAACCGACGCCAAGCAAAACAGCCATTGTAGTTTGAGACTGACGCAGTGGTCATTTTCACATTGTTAGGATTAAATATATTTGCGCCCATCTTTGTGCCCATGGTTGGTTTAAAAGAAAGCCCAAAATGCACTAGTGCTATTTACAGCTGATCTTAACTCAAGTGACATCACTTTAATCTGACTGCACAAACAGCTGTCCTAGAAACACTTATGCATATATGCAACATTATTCCCCAACGCCTGTAAATAAACTTTTATGTTTAAAATTGGAGCTCCCCTTTAATGTTTTTCACTTTAGTTTTGTTTAGTGTTTTTCTACAAGTAATCGCAAGGGAAATTGATGGCAGCCATTATAGCACATACCATTCTTTACATCAAGTCCACACCCAAAGGAATAATTTCACCACCCATGCAGGACTAATATAGGCACCACAGAATGACTATTTTCAAATTTAAAGCAGTTCTTGCTGACAGATGAGTCCACACACTAGAACTGTGCTGCCTCCTTCCCTTCTCACATGTCATCTAACCTCCATTTTCTTGTTTTAGAAAGTACTTTGATGACTAACTTTCTCTTTCTATCTGTCCCTCATATCTCCCTGTACTGTACCACAGGGTTGTTGGCAGTCAGAATGGTGGAGCATCATTGGGGGCTGCAGAAACATCACCTCCTCAGGCACCGTAATTATTTGGCTCTTTTATTGTTGAATGCGCTGCTGACTGTCGGCCTGAGGGGAATCAATTTTTTTTTTTTTTCGTAAAATTTCTTCAAGGAGTCTCAACAGCTGCTAGCTGCTCTGAACACAGATTTTCAAAATTACCTGAGGTGCTGGAAAGAAGGACAGAGGCTATTCAGAACATGTCAAACTCAAAGTTAGCTGCAAGTTTAAATAGGTTTGCACCAAAGAGAGGGCTTCAAATAATCAAATAACAGTAAATACAGTTAAATGCAAAAATGTGTGTATCAAATACATAGAAATGTCCCGTTTGTTTTGCTTAGTTCATTTTCAGAAAACACTATTCTTCAGTCATTCATTCACATAATTGATTTCACTGATAATATACATACTATTGCTGAAAAACAAGAATTCAACAACCTGACATTAAACATTGAAGTCTTGGGACCCAAAAAATTGACAATTAGAATTGATGGAATGTTGTGAAAGTTTCTACTAATTAAGGATCCACCCTTCTTATTGTTCCACTACTAAATTTTGAGATTCAATAAGGATACATCTGCAACCATCTGGTTAAATATGTTACTTATTTTTTGAATTTTTCTGCTCAGCCTTTAGTTGAACTTTTGATTGTTTGTATCAGATACAAGAATGGACGCTGTCAAGCATGCAAAAGTAATGACCCTAGAATAATTGAGGAGGACTACAGCTGGAGCATCTGTGCAATCAGAACAAAAGCCCTCATGTGGAAGCACAAAACAGCATCTTATGAAAGCATTTGAAGAAAATGTTGAAGGGGTGTGAGGCTCCTGGTGTGGCCGGCAGTTTGCACTCCAAGTGCAGGCATATTTGAAAAACAAACAATCAGACAAGACAAACCATGCCTGTACTGGGGAGTCAACAGACCTCAGTTTCCCCACGATGCCAATAAATCCTTTGGGCCCCCTGCAGTACTGTAAAAAAAGCTAAGACTTGTCAGCACAGTCTCTAACATTGTTGATGAAAAGAGCAGAAATTCTTGTTTTTAATAAAAAAGAACCGACCATTGCTGCATTCCGCGCAAAACAGGTCACTAATTCATTAATTCAATCACTTACTCGATAAAAGGGCTATGTGGATCTTCTTTGCTTCTGCTTGTTAACATTTTTGTCTTGAATGTAATTGACATTCTGTTTGATTTCTGCAATTTTATTGTTTTTATTTTAAATGAAATAATTACTGCTTGGAATGTTTCATTTACTATTGTGTTGTCAAATGAATTAGTAAGATAATTTAGTTTATTCATGTTGTGTCTTTACAAAATCAGGTGTTCGTACTGCTTATCATTTGAGATATTAATTCAGTATTTCTCAGTCTTACCCCTAGATTCCACCGGGTCCGTCTGCGTCGCGTCACGGCTGCGCCGCGGTTTTGGTCCGGCGTCATACCCTACCGGGCGCGTTTCAGAAGCATTTCAGAAGCATTTCAGAAGCGGAGCGTCTTGCCTGCCGGCTCGCAGTTTTTGTTGATTTGGGCATATGTCCTGGACAGGCTACTTTGTACAGACAAAGTTAATAATAATTGTAATATCCCAGTTATAAACGACATGAATCAAAGATGTGTTGCTGTATTTTGGTGGTAAAAAAATGCATTCATCATCATTATTATTCTATATATATAATTTACACAGTGCCTGTCAACCGGAGGAGAACGCTGGCATTTCTCCTCCTACTTGAAAGACTATTGAGGGATAGGGTCTGCAAAATTAGTAACGCGGCCGCAAACGGACCCGGTGGAATCTAGTGGTTAGCAGCTATATTATTAGATAATGGGATTTTAAGTTGATATGTTAATTGGTTAAACCCACTAAAATATATGTTGAGTCAGTTTTGTGGAAAATGTCATGATTCAGATTTTCAAGTTCAATCATCAGATTCAAACTCAATGCCATTCCAAAGGAAAAGGGGACTGGAGTGCACTGAATACTTTGAATTTAATTATACAAACTTTTTATATGCAGAACACCTTGTTTCATTGTCAATACCCTGTTGCACTGATGAGTGTTTTCTTTCTAACTTGCTATTACGGTAGATAAGCTCTTTTTGCAGCCACTTGCTGGGATGTGAGACACAATTTGGTGAGTTGGAGTTTGAGTGTATTTAAATGTGCTATAATTCGCTGTGCCAGTTCATTTAACATTATAATGTAACAGAAGACATATTGATATTGCATTTAGGTATAATACAGCCCCAAAATGAAGGACACGGTTCAAATCAAGAGTAAAATGTTGATTTAATCATTTGTGATAAATTAAAGGAGCCGTTGGGGATTTACTAAAATGATAAATGCAGACTTCAAAACTCTAGAAATCCTTATAGCATAATCATCTCCCAAATTTGTATTATTTGAGTATAATAGAAATTGCACTTATTCAATTTGTATTTGCATTTTTCACATATGAATGTCTTATGACAACATTAAAATGAAAATGGAAAAGCTGTGTGACATTTACTTTTCAAAATTGAATCTTGCTGTTATGCGGTCAGACCATCATCATATAGAATGCATGCACAAATAAAGATTCCCATACGCATTTCAGGATTTATATATTCACTAAATATATGACCTTCTAATGACATTAATTTTCAGTGCACACAAAAATAGTCATTGATGAATATATTCCATTTCCCAGCAACGTACAGTGGACAATCCTCAAATGTTAATCCAAGTAAATAATTATTATAAATATAGATAAACACAATTGTACCGGGTCTTCCATTTATGCAAGCATTATTCTAGTCTATTAAAATTAGACTGCCCTTTTCAAACCATTTCATCTACATTGTGAAGTGAAATAATGAAAATGTTAATGCAGTAGACTGATGCTTACGGCATTTGAATCTTTTTGCTAGTAAACGATTGAAGGTGTCTTTGAGGTTGAGAGCAGCTATCTTCTTAAACTCAATCAAGCAGATAACGGACCATGAGGTAACAAAACCGTAATCGCATATTTGGCAGTCAGGAAAGAATCATTCAAATGTGATTTTTATATGTTTAATTTGGCAGACTTTTTGCCACAGGAAAGCTATCATTATCAGGACAGTCAGCACACATTATGTTCATTTTCAGGTTCATATTTGTAACTTGTGCCTCAACTGTGACATGTTTACATGCTTTAATGTTCAAAAAGGTATATATTTTTCTCATACTGTCTGTGCTGCAGCACCTCTTTTCACCCTCTGTCTGAAACCAGAGCCCAGTCTGCTCTGATTGGTTAGCTGGCCGGCTCTGTTGCGATTGGCCAACTGCTCGGGTATATGTCGGAAATGTCCCATGTGAACTTTGGGAGTTTAGCCTCTGCAGACCATTTACATGGACCTGTATAACACCACACAAAAGGAAAATATCTAAAAGCATAATAGGGCTAAAACATCTATAGCTGGGTGAAGATTAAACTTGAAATAGAAAATAAATCATGTCATTGCATATGTAGTATTAATAACCTTCAGTCTGAGTAACTGGTGTTAAAACTACTGTAGATTAAGCTGTCATAATTGGTTTCACAGCAGAAACCGAAACTAGGAACAGTCTTCTATAAAGGAAGTAATAAGAAAATTGAGAAATTGAGCAGCAGCTTGATGGTCTGTTATGTTGGAAATTGGACTGTCAAACTGCAGACAACTGACCCACATTTACAACAGCCCCACATTTCTGATCTTGCAGAATCAGGCAGACACAAGATGTAGAATTTGACAGAGGCGAGCAATTAAAAAACACAAGACAGAGGCAGCAAAAAGAGATGTAGAACGTGTAGAAAGGGAGACAAAGCAGGTGCCATCAGAACGGTTTATGTGAATGTAACCAAGATTTACACAACTCCTTGCATACCCATCATGAACTTACTCATCATTGTCTAATAAAATCACAATTTTAATATAACTGAGAGATATAAAAGCATAATTGTAAGGAGTATGATAGTGTTGTGAATAGGTAAGTTATGACACTTTATATGTTCTTTCATGTGCCACCCTAGGCTGAAAATAGTAGGAACTTATAATATATTTTAAATTGTGATTCTCCTTCCCTTTCTGATGATCCACATATCTACGAAATATACAGTATTACAATAAAAGTCAGAATTAATGAGAAGCTTTTGATCTCTTTAAGGTTCTTAGATCAATCTCAGAAGTCATAAGTCTACAAGAAATGTTATCGGTGAAGAAAAATGACAAGAATTCTCATCAAAGAAAATATTCTCTGATCAGTAGATTAACTTATCTTTAAACAAACCCACATCCAAGCTGATTCGGCTCATATGCCCTTTGATGTTCTTTATTTAAAGCAACAATTATTTTACCAGGGAACAAACCCAGCAAACTGTATTAATAAAGTAAATTGGGGAGAAAAATATGTTATACTCCTACTTGGTTTGCCCATCAGATAGAGACATACAGTAGATTGAAGTCCAGATACATTTGCAATTATGCTCTACCATTTAAAACCATTTACTTTACCAATTACAATTTTATAATTGTTTACTTTGAACTACATTTGAAATACCACACATTGTTATGTATTCTGCATATCAACAGTGGTAGTAAACATGACGGACAAAACCAACCAACTCCTCAAACACAGGTTGTTCCACAATAGTAATTTAGTTCAGTGTTATTTCTTTAGCATAGCAGTCTGTAACAGTAATTCTACAACCTTGTAGCTATGTAACTATTGCTTTCCTGCTTAGCTTCTTTTCAAAGTTACTAATGTTCTTCTTCTTCTTCTTCTTCTTCTTCTCAGGTTTTAGTCCTACAATCTTTTTGAAACTGCAAGATTACTGCAGAGGTGGGAAGTAGTGGAGTACAAATACTTTGTTACTGTACTTTAAGGTGGGGTGGGTAATTTTGGAGAAACCAGCTCGAGTGCGCTAGAATTTGAAAATACACAGCTGGAAAAAATCTGCCACTTCCCTTCAGAGCCCCTCCTCCAACACACACGAACGCGCACATGACCAATGAGGGCACGAGATAAGTTTGTGCACAGATGGAAGGCTGACAGGCAGGTAGGCCATCCAGTTACTTTAGCCGGGCCGGCTCAGATGATTGGTCGTGCTTTTTACAGCGCCACGGCTTCCACAGATGAAATGTTTTATATGTATTTATTGTCAAAGCATTTCATGTATTCATTTCTATCGGGATGTTAAGAGCATTCCATGGAATATAACAAAAAGTGTATCTCGAGCCGGTTTCTCAAACTTACCTACCCCACCTTTAAGTACATTTTTCTGGTATCAGTACTTTACTCCACTACTTATTTTTCTGACAACTTTTTACTTTTACTTCTTACATTTTTAACACAAATANAATCTGCCACTTCCCTTCAGAGCCCCTCCTCCAACACACACGAACGCGCCGGGCCGGCTCAGATGATTGGTCGTGCTTTTTACAGCGCTACGGCTTCCACTGATTACATTTTTTTATGTATTTATTGTCAAAATATGTTAAGAGCATTCCATGGAATATAACAAGTGTTTCTGAAGTGAATTACCTACCCCACCTTTAAGTACCATGTTTTGTAGCCTGACCTTCCTCTTTCTGTATGCTGTACCATGTGAGCTATGTACCATGTATGTTCATAAATAAAAACTTGAATTACAAAAAAAAAAGCTGAAATCAGAAGTGCTGCTTTCATATACATATATACACCATAAATGACTTACCACATGATCAGTATCTTTGCTGGGTTTCTCAGCGTCCTCCTTCTGGACGGGGGCCTCCTTAGAGACCAAACTGTAAGTGGTCACCACCACATCATAACCTGCCAGCCTGATGGAGGACAGAGAACACTTCATTCAATTGGGTCTGCTCCAACACTCCTTTAAACTGAACGTTTCTGATTAAGTGTTGAAGCCTTTAACATATAATAATAATTAATATATCAATCTGAATTGTGTACTACAATATTCTGCAATTGATATACACGAGTGATTTCAAAGCAAATGTTCAAGAAGAAATAGGGTAGTAGAGAGAGTAAAAAGAAAACAACAGTGTTGTGTGCAGCGTTTCCGTTAGCCGGTAATTACCGGACTATGACCGGTAAAATATGATGAAGACCGGAAAATCTAAATCTATCCGGTCAAAATGTCCGGTCAAAATAATTTCCCCTTAATCAGTTGCGCCACTTATGTGACAGACAAGAAGAGTCAATTCTAAAGTCTAACACGTAATGTGGAGAGAGAGATGTGCTGTATGGGTTGATTGTGCGTTGATCCGTGTCGACACGCAGCTCTGCATGATCACCTGCAGCGGTGAGCGGAGCAAAACACACTTCAGGTTAGAATATCACACGTAGCTATTTTAATGACCTCTCAAACTACCGTAACTAGTTATAGATATGTTTAGTTTTACTGTCGGGTCACTCATTACTGATCCTCGAGCTGCATGAGACTGACGGGCTGTCAGGAGAGGGAGAGAGCGCTCCGTTTATTATTCCCGTGTTATTATAAGTTACTGTTACTCTACTATAATTAGTTTGTTTAATATCGAATCATATCAATTTGTTTTCAAGCTCAATAAATAACAAAGAAGACCTTTGACCGGCACTTTTCAAATTTTGTCTGGAAGATTTAAACTTTAACGGACATCTTGACCGGCAAAAATATATTCTAACGGGAACTCTGGTTGTGTGTAAGTATGAATGTGAGCGTGGTTCCCTCACACTTTGGGACTTCTCTCGCGGCTGGGTCCATGGTACAGGCACACCGACAGCTTGCCTGCCTTCAAACGTCTGTCAATCTCCATCTTCCAGTGGTGGACCAAGGAGGCGGGACAGATGATCAGAGTGCCTTTAGACACCACCGGGCTGGAGTCTACAGGATCATCAAACACACTGATCAGAACTATCAGACTCTGATTACTTAGCCTCACTTTTTACCTTCAGAATACACACAAAACAAAGAAGTATTCACTTATTTAAATATGATCAGCAGTATTGCTTATATTGCTCTATTCTATAATTACAATGCAAAGACTGGGAACATTTTTAATCACCAGTTTTGGAGATCCAGCCCTCGGCCTGCTTCTCTTCCTTCTCTTCAACTTCCCCTTTTGCTTTGCTTTTCTTGGCCAGTATGAGAGCAATAATTGTGAGGGTTTTCCCCAGACCCATGTCATCCGCTGAATCAGAAAGGGCATGAGATGGAAAAAATAAGGAGACAATTAGGATTTGAAGCCTCGTAAACAACATTCTCTGTTCACTGGATGTAAATAGTTTGTCAGGTTCTTGTTACAATACATAATAAAATCAAAAAAATATCTTCAATAAATTATTTCCATTCAATCTCCTATCTAACCAAACAGCTTGACTTCATTTTCGAGGGAAGAAATAGAATCAATTTGCAGATATTTCGCAAGTTTGGAGAACTTATACATCTCACTGACTTGCTTTCACTTCTTGAAAATGATTCTTTCACCTGCAGGGTATCTGCAGGAATCCTGAAGTCAAATGTAATACCTTTTAAGACCTTTTTTAAGACCCTCTCCATACATTTTAAGACCTCATCGCCACTTTGAGTTC